TCAGGCCGGGCCAAATCGGACTGCTCCCAATGCAGTGTGTGTACACCTGCGTGGTTCCGGGTCCACGCAGACCTACCTCCGTCCTCCCACCCTAAGGCTGGAGGCTAACAGTGGGGTCCCGGCCAACGAGCATTCCCTAGTGCCTACTATGTGCCAGCCTCAGTGCAAGGCGCTGGGAACATGATCGGAAACAAAATAAAATTCCTGCCTGGTGTGTAAGGGACAAAATAAAGTATGAGATTAATAAGGTGTTTTAGCCCTAACCGGTTTGGCTCAGTGGATAGAGTGTCCGCCGGCGGACTCAAGGGTCCCAGATTGGATTCCGGCCAAGGGCATGTACCTTGTGTGCAGGAGGCAGCTGATCGATGTTTCTAACTCTCCCTCTCCCTTCCTCTCTATAAAAAATCAATAAAAGCCGAAACCAGTTTGCTCAATGGATAGAGTGTCAGTCTGTGGACTCAGGGGTCCCGGGTTCAATTCTGATCAAGGCACATCCCAGGGGTGGAGGGTGCAGGAGGCAGCTGGTCAATGTTTCTAGCTTTCTATCCCTCTCCCTTCCTCCCTGTGAAAAATCAATAAAATATATTTTTTTTAAATAAGGTGTTTTAGATAGCACTAAGTGCTAAAGGTAGTTAAAGATCAGAGAGACGTGAGGCCATCTGAAAGGAGGGAAGGCCTGCTGGAGAGGTGACGTCTGAACAAAGTCCTGAAGGAGGAAGCCATGGGGATGTCTCAGGGAGAAGAGCAGCCCTGGCAGGGGGAACAGCATGTGCAAAGGCCCTGAGGCTGGGTCACGCCTGACGTACTAAAGGAACCTCAGGAGGCTGGAGCTGAAGAGAGGAAGCATGGTTGGAAGGAGGTGAGGTGGGGTGAGGGGCAAGTCTCACTGACTCAGTCCAGTTCAGGACACCCCCTTCCCCATGTCCTCATCAGAACTGCCTGGTGCCACACCCACACCCCAACATCCACATGCCCCACGTCTGCTGCGTCCCCCAGGTGTTCCCCAGTTTACACAGGTGACCTCCTCTGAGCGTCCTCTACAAGTATACAAGGTTGTAAACTTGTAGCCACCTACCTCTGCCCCTGTAGGTCCACTCACAGGCCCCATTGCCTTCATTCCTGGGTTCACAGCCTCTGAGGTGGGGACACACATGACTCCCGTGTGCACGTGCCAACCCAGAACACATCTCACGTATCCACACGTCACCCCTATCTGTACTAAGTTCTACCCTGACCTGACCCCCACTTCCCGGTGGCCACATAGGCACATGTCCCATGGTCTTTATCGTCACACCCACTGCCTCATCCACACATTCAGCAAACACTCCTTGAGCACCCATTGTGTGCCAGGAGCCGTTCCAAGCGATGGGGACACAGGCATGACCAACACAGGCAAAATTCCCTGTCCTCGTGAACTTGACTTCCTGGTTGGGAAAATGGACGGTGGATGGATAGGTCAGTGGGTGGTAAGTGCTTAGAAGGAACCTCAAGCAGGGAAGGGGCTGGGGTGGTGTTTTAAATAGAAGGGCCGGGCCTCTATTTAGAGAGAAGATGACACTTGAATGAAGACCTGAAGGAAGAGAGAGAAGGGACAGAGCATTTAGGCAAAGGGAACAGCAGTGCAAAAGCCCTGAGGTGGGGGCTGGCGTGGTACGCCCAAGGAACAGCAGGGAGGCTGTGTGGCTGGAACGGGGGGGGGGGGGGGGGGGGAGTGGAAGGAAGGAAGCATTGAGAGGTGAGGGGGGATGTGAGCAGCACCCTGAGAACCTCCAGGAGGACCTGGGTTTTACCCTAACTGGTGAGACCCAGGAGGGGCTCTGGGCTGGGAAAAGGCCCATTCTCCACTAAACTTACACATCAAGCCCTGACCGGTTTGGCTCAGTGGATGGAGCATCGGCCTGTGGACTGAAGGGTCCCAGGTTCGATTCCGGTCAAGGGCACGTACATTAGTTGCGGGCACATCCCCAATAGGGGGTGCCCAGGAGGCAGCTGATCAATGTTTCTCTCTCACTTATGTTTCTAACTCTCCATCCCTCTCCCTTCCTCTCTGTAAAAAAAAAAAAAAAAAAATCAATAAAAAAATATTTTTAAAAATAGGGACCGGTTTGGCTCAATGGATAGAGCGTCGGCTTGGGGACTGCAAGGTCCCGGGTTCGATTCCTGTCAAGGGCATGTACCTTGGTTGCGGGCATATCCCCAGTGGGGGGGGGGTGCAAGAGGCAGCTGATCGATGATTCTCTCTCATCGATGTTTCTAACTCTCCATCCCTCTCCCTTCCTCTCTGTAAAAAAAAAAAAAAAATCAATAAAAATATATTTTTAAAAATAAAATAAACTTACACATCAAGCAGGAGCTTCCAAGGGCAGAGCAGGGAGCAGGGTCCTCTCCTAGCCCCACAGCCTCCTTCTCTCCCCCCTCCCCCCAAAGACACCAGGCCCCACTCTACAGAAAAGGACTGCCTTCTCTGGAGCTAGAGTGTGTACCACCCACTGCCTACCAGCATCTCGGCCTGAGGGGAGGAGGAGGCCTGGGAAGCCTCCAGCCAAGGAGCCGACCGGGTTCCCCCCAGGACAGAATCAGCCTCCACCGGCCCTGCCACCCTCCTGCCCTCTCACCTCTCACAACCAAGATCCGGAATCCAGCGAGGAGGCCCGTGGCAGGCACAGAAGTCAGAGGAGGAGCCAAGGGTCCAGCGGGGGCCTCTGAGCAGGGGAAGGGAAGAGGCCAGTGGGAGAGCAGGGAGGAGGAGACTTGGTAACCCCCCAACCCTTACCAGCCCCCCCATCAGAGCCTGGGACTAGAGCTGTGATGCTGAGCCCAGGAGCTCAAACTGTAAATATTTAGCATTTTCCGCATGAGAATTGAGGCCGAATTGCCAGACCCTCCTGCCCAGGCCACCAGAGCCGGATAACACAGGTCAGTGGCCTGGACATTCCCCCCGTTAGCAGGACACAGAGCGTGGGAGGCTGCAGGCCCCAGGAAGCCGGGAAGATCCAGCATCAGACACAGACACACGCACACGCACAGAAAAGGACCACGGCCAACCTCTGCAGGGGCACCTGCTGTGCCTGAGGCCTGGCTCTAAACTCTTTGCACCTCTCATCTCATTTAACCCTTGCAACCTGAGCGGGCTTCTGTGGGCAGCCCCATTTTGCAACAGGGAAAACTGAGCCTCAGAGAGGGTGAGTGACTTGCTCACGGCCCGGCCCCACAGACCAAAAGGACCCACAGCGGAATCTGGCCCAGTAGCTTGACTCCAAAACGTGCACACATATATCACGACAGTCACACACACCCTTGTGCACATCCCAAGACATGCAGGCCGCTGCACGAAGCAGCAAAAATAGACAGAATCTGTGTGTGTGTGTGTGGGTGGGTATTTGCCTGGCCCGTGTATACACAGACGCCTTTTGCCAGAGACATGACTGGAAACATGGCACAGATTCAGGCAGCAGTGTTCAAAATATGTTCACACACATACACACACACACACACACACACACACACACATCACAACGTAAAGGGAAAGGTCCTGCGGACTGATCCTGTCTGTACCTGTGTGCCAGACACATACATACTCACCCAGGTACACGAGGCCACACACTGACAAGCACAGAGATGCAGATCAGTGTGCTCTGGTTATAAAGTGATACACATACGTGCCCCCACCCACACCATAGTGCACATGTTTCCATTGTCCCCCCCCACACACACACACACACTGTCACATCCTCACGCTGGGCAAGTCATGCAGGGACAGAAACAGGCAGCAGCGATCATACAGCCATTTTTCCGGGGAACAGAAAGACTCACGCGGAGCCTCCAGAGCACAGGTCTGGGATCCGCAGCCTGTGCGGAGGCCTCCTCCACCAGCAGCCTTTCCCGCGTTCCTACTGTCCTCAACTCGCAACCCAAGTGGACTCCCGGGCTGAAAGAGGAAATGGTCCTCCCAGATGTAAGAGAGGCTGCCAAGCTGGGCTCCAGCCTGGACTGGGCCCCCCACCCGCAGCCCCTTCCAGTTTCCCCCATTGGCAGCAGAGAGAGAAAAAAACCTCCTAAGTGACAGAGAGGCTGACATAAGGGAGTGTGAAAGCCAGGGAAGGGGAGAGACATGGGGGAAATGGGGAGTCTGGAGAGAGAGGATAGGAGAGAAATGGGATTAGGGACAGAGAGAGAGGAGAAAGATGGAAACTTAGAAATAATGAAAGAGAGAATTGATGGCAGAAACAAAGTTGGGGAAGAGGGAGAGTCAGGGAGGAGACAGCGGTGGGGAGGAGGAGACAAAGAGGGGGAAGAATTGGGGAGGGGGAGACAGAGGAAGAAGGAAGGCAAATGGGGGAGGGAAGGCAGATGGGAAAGGAAGCAAATGGGACAGAGAGAGATGTTGGGGGGCATCCCTCCCCCTCACCCCAAGATTCTGGGGAAGAAGCCAGAGGCCTGAGGCCAAGACTGGGGCTTTGAGCGGAAACCGGTGATGAATTTTTCACCAAGCGCCGAATTGCTTGGAGTTTCCAGAGGTGATGTGGAGTTTCCATCCTCAGCCAGTTCGCAGGCAAGACTCTCTGGGGAGGAGACAGCTGGCCCTCAGGAGCTGGGGGCCCAAATGAGTAATCGGCCCTTTTCTGGTTGCTCCCGAAGCACCTGGTGCCTGTGTGCCAAGCACTGTGTGTACACCGTCTCTCTTAATTCACGGGTCAGGACTTAAATGATTTATCATATTCACTTTGGGATACACTAGAAGCCTCGGAGTGCAGGAATTGGTTCTCAAAATCGCACCGCTGGCGGAAGTGACCGAGGCGGGATTCGAACCTGAGCTTCTTCCTTTCTCAGAGCGCTCCAGAGCTCCCGGAGCCGCGCGGCCCCGCCCCGGTTTCGGTAGAAACAGGCACCAAGTGTCTCCATAGCAACACATCGATGATTTCCCCGCCCCCATCACGCTATCTGGCGCGTACGCGTAACCGTGTGGTGACGTCATCGCACAGCGCCGCCTCACGTGACCACACTCCCGTGCCGGAAGTGAACGGCACAGCGCCGGAAGCGGCCGGAGGAAGGTCCTCGTGGAGTAGACGCCAGCATGGGGCAGTCGGGGCGGGTGAGGTGCGGCGGCCCGGGAGGCGGGCAGCTCGGGCGTGGGCCCCGCGGAATCCGCAGGGCTCACCTTCTCTCCCCTCTCGCCGCAGTCCCGGCACCAGAAGCGAGCACGCGCCCAGGCTCAGCAGCGCAACCTCGAGGCCTACGCCGCGCAGCCGCACTCGTTCGTGTTCGCCCGGGGCCGCGCGGGTCGCGGCGTCCGGCAGCTCAGCCTGGACCTACGGCGGGTCATGGAGCCGCTCACCGCCACCCGCCTGCAGGTCGGCACCCTCCAGCCACCTTCACTGCCCTTTGAGGCCGCCCTCGCGGGGCCGCATTTTGCTTGGCTAGAGAAAGGGTCCTTTGTGGGGACCATCGCCCCCGCCTCCCAGCTTCGCAGCAGCGAGGGAGTGCCTGATGGCACTCAGCTTAGGGCTTGGCTGGGTACCTGAAGTTTGTGGTGAAGAGGGGACTCTGGAATCGGCAGAGTTGAGTTGGAAACTTGACTTCTTTCAAAGGCCTGCAGCAAGTTAACCTCGCTGGGCTTTGGTTGGCCTGTTTGCAAAAGGGGGCGATGCGGGGCAAGCCAGGGACAGGCGCAGGACTCGAATTCTAGAGGCAGAGGATTTAAGGCCAAGAGCATTCCACTCCTTCCTCACCCCCTTTTCAGAAAAATTAGATGCAAGAAAGGGCATAACGGGTTTAAGTTTATAGTCTTTGCTCGAAAGAGGAATGTCTTTGATCATTTCTTTATTTTTCTAATATCCAGATACGGAAGAAAAATTCTCTGAAGGATTGTGTGGCAGTGGCTGGGCCCCTGGGGGTCACTCATTTCCTGATACTGAGCAAAACGGAGACTAATATCTACTTTGTGAGTGGATTCCTGCACCCATCTCCCCCATACCCCCCTCCTCCCCCAGCTCTCTTGATGAACCCATGTGCCTCTGAGCTGCCATGATTCTGGCTTCAAAGTAAACGCTCTGAAGAGATGGGGCGATGGATCCCACCCCTGCTCCCAGCCTGGATGCCTCCACCCTCATTGATCCTTTCTTCCGCAGAAGCTGATGCGCCTCCCAGGAGGCCCCACCTTGACTTTCCGGGTCAACAAGGTAAGGCTCGGAGGTGGTAATGGAAACCGTGTGGGGCAGGAGCTGGGTTGGGGAGTGACGCCAGCCACGTGTAGTGGGTGGTCACCCACTCCTCACCCCGCCCTGCAGTACACACTGACACGCGACGTGGTCTCCTCGCTGCGCCGCCACCGCATGCATGAGCAGCAGTTCACCCACCCTCCCCTCCTGGTGCTCAACAGCTTCGGCCCCCTTGGCATGCACGTGAAGCTCATGGCTACCATGTTCCAGAACCTGTTCCCCTCCATCAACGTGCACAAGGTGGGCAGGGCCTGGGTGGTGGCAGGTGTGGGTGGATGGCGCAGGTGGCAGGTACCACACAGGCCCTAGGGCTGACTGCTCAGTCCTCACCTCCCAGCACTGAGGCCGAGAGTTCTGACTCCCCAAATCAAGTCTCACTTGCATTGTATGGCATGGGACTCCCTTTGAACTGCCTTCCCATATAGCAGGTGGAAAATGCCAATATTTAAAAAAATATATATATATTTTTATTGATTTCATACAGAAAGGAGGGGAGAGAGAGAATCCTCAATGATAAAAGAGAATCATGGATCGGCTGCCTCCTGCACACTCCCTACTGAGGATCGAGCCTTCAACCCGGGCATGTGCCCTTGATCGGAATCGAACTTGGGACCTTTCAGGCCACAGGCCAGTGGTGCTTTCTTGAGTGCTAGTTTAAGCAGTGTACGTTGTGTTGTCATGCCCCGTCCCCCTTAAGGAAGCAGGCTGACCTGTGAAGTCTGAGGTTAGTTAGAAGGCTAACAGTTCCTAAGCCCTGGCACCAGTGGGCCTCAAATTCTCGTTAGATACGGTCATCAGGGAGTTTGGAGTGGGCGGCCTCGGTGGGTGCTGGAACCAGGTTTGTAGCCAGCAGTCCATGGACACCACTTGCAGCCCCATCAGTCCCTGCAGGGCTGGGCTTGGCCTCCAGTATGCAGTGAGGCCTAAAGGCAGCTGCCATGGTGCCGTGTCCTTTCCAGGTGAACCTGAATACCATCAAGCGCTGCCTTCTCATCAATTACAACCCTGACTCCCAGGAACTGGATTTCCGCCATTAGTGAGTGCAGGGGCAGAGGGTAGGAGGGGTGTGCTGCTCTGGGTGCGGCTGATGACAATGCTGCTGCTGAGGCTCAGTGATTGCTCAGTCTCGAAGTAAACGCCCTGACGCTCCATGAAAACGGCAGAGGGTAAGGCTGGCCCCTGCCTCTGTGGCCCCTAACCCCCCACCTCATTACTCCGGCCTCTGCAGTAGCATCAAAGTTGTCCCTGTGGGCGCAAGTCGTGGGATGAAGAAGCTTCTCCAAGAGAAGTTCCCCAACATGAGCCGCCTGCAGGACATCAGCGAGCTGTTGGCCACGTGAGGAAGGGGCAGAGGGAGGCTGCCATGGCCCAGGGGACCCCGGGAGCCTGCGGCTCCCTGCTGAGCCGTGTGTCCCTGGCACAGGGGTGCAGGACTGTCGGAGAGTGAGGCAGAGCCCGACGGCGAACACAACATTACAGAGCTGCCCCAGGCCATCGCAGGCCGCGGCAACATGCGGGCCCAGCAGAGCGCCGTGAGGCTCACTGAGGTGAGGCCCCCGAGGCTGAGGCACCTCCTCCCGCAGCCCCCGCCTTGCAGGAGGACTGACTCTTCCTCCCTGTCCCTCCAGATCGGACCTCGGATGACGCTGCAGCTGATCAAGATTCAGGAGGGTGTCGGGGAGGGGGACGTGCTCTTCCATAGTTTCGGTGAGGTCGGCAGCGGGCACAGGGCCCGGGTCCGAGGCCCCCAGGGAGGGTTGTTGGGTGCACTGGGCACACCTGGATCTTGGTGAACCGGTTCTTCTTTCTAAGTGCACAAGACAGAGGAGGAGCTGCAGGCCATACTGGCGGCCAAGGAGGAGAAGCTGCGGCTGAAGGCCCAGAGGCAGGACCAGCAGGCCCAGAATGTCCAGCGTAAGAAGGAACAGCGAGAGGCCCACAGGTGTGTGGTCGGCGGGTGGGGCGGGTCCCCGTGCAGGCTGCTACCCTGACCAACACGAACATTGCTCTCCTCCAGGAAGAAGAGCCTGGCGGGCATGAAGCGGACACGGGCAGAGGCTGATGGGGACAGTGATGCCGAGGACCCCGGGGCCCCCCCGGAGGCAGACAGAGCTGGCCAGCAGGAGGAGGAGGATGAAGCTGAGTATTTCCGCCAAGCAGTGGGCGAGGAGCCTGACGAAGGTGCTTGGCAGGGAGCAGTGCAGCCGGGTGCTGGAACCTGTCCCTGTCCAGGTGACCCTGACACCATATTTCTTTGCAGACATGTTCCCAAATGCCCGGCGGAGACGGTCCACCAGGCCTCCAAGCAAGAAGCAGCGCTTAAAGCAGCGGAGGCCAGACCGGGGCAGCGACCACAGGCCTCCGAAAGCCAAAGGCAGGCCCCGGGGGACCCAAGCCAAGGGGCCTCCAGGGGCTGTTCAGAACTATGGCCGAGGCCGAGCACAGCGACTGAAGAGAGTGGCCTGAGGTTGCACCTGAGCAGCGGGTTAAGTGCCCCAGATTGGGGCCCAGAGATGCTGCCCCGGGCTCCTGCCGGGGCGTCCAGGGGCAGCCCTCTTTCCTTTCATAAAGGAGCTGGTTCCCCAACCTTCTAATAAACACTGATTTCCCACGAGTCAGAGGCTGCCGTTGGAATGGGGTTCGGAGGCCAGTAGCCCTGAGAGTTGGGCCTGGAAGTGTGGAACTCAGATTTGATCCTGGTCATTGGCGGCTCGGTCCTGGGCCCCTTCCCAACCTCCCTCAGACTGAGGGTTCCTGCCTGCCCCAGGTCTAGAGTGCAATGCGGAAGGAAATGGGCTGGTGGCTGGTGGCTGGCGCCTGACTAGACCTGACTGGGCGGTGGGTGGGGCTGTGGGGGAGTGGCCAACGCGCTGCTGTTCACTGGGGGAGGGACAGGACACATTGTGGGCCGGACACCCAAAGGCAGGGCTCCGGCCACGGCGGACACAATGTCAGGTGAGGAGGGAGCACAGGGCCCGGCCCCTGTGTACCCCGGGCTGGGGTGGAGGTGGGAGTGGGGATGGTGTAAGAAGCACGGCTGAAGCGGAGAACTAGAACAGGAAGGAGGGGGTGGAAAGTCTGGTGAGGGAGGTCTGTACACATCCTGTCTTCAGACAGGACTTGTTCCTGGGGATTTTAAACGGTGATCAGAGAAACAGACTGTTTTGGGAGAAAGAATTGGGGAAGTGCAGGACTAGGGGTACAATGGAAAGCTTAGGATGGTTAGAACTGGAGGAAGACAAGCCTTCAGGATGTCTGTGACTCAAAAAGAACGGCCAGTGCAAGGCCCTGAAGCAGATGTGCCTAAGAAATATCCAGGAAGCAGACTGGAAGTCTCCTGGAGAAGATAAAAGCCAGAGGGTGGGAGTCAGACCTCCCTCAGGGCCTTGTGGGATGAGGCAAGCACTGGCTTTTCCACCTAGTAAGGAAGAATCCCTAGAGTGGTCTGAGCACGTGGCCTGATAGGTGCTCCCAGGCGCCCTCTGGAGGCTCTGGGAGAGTAGATCAGGTGAGGATGGGAGCTGGGAGACCCGGCCTACGCAACTGTTAGTCCAGATGGATGACATGGGCTGGACCCAAGTGGTGTTAAGGGGGTGACAGATCTAGAAATATCCATCAGCTGCCTCCTACACACCTCCTACTGGGGATGTTCCTGCAACCAAGGTACATGCCCTTGACTCGAACCTGGGACCTTTCAGTCCACAGGCCGACACTATCCACCGAGCAAACCAGTTAGGGCAAGGGGGTACAGATCTTGAAGATAGGTACTTGCTGGTGGATTGCAGTGGGGTCAGACTCCCAACTCCTGTTCTCCATCCCAGTCCTGATGGGTCCCAGTCATTACCGGTTTACGTGGGTCCTTTGTAGGCAATTCCCTCTGGTTCTTGCCCCACCTGATCTTACAGGGTGTGACAGGATCCCAATGGGACTCGGCTTCTGACCTTTCTAGGCCCGATTCCCTCCATAGAAAGGAGCTGGACTCATCAAAAAGTCCTCTTACAAAGGGGTAATGCAGGCCTGCGCCCAGCAGGCACTCAGGACTGACCCATAATACAATGCAGCTCTGAAAGGGACCACATTCAGGTGGGGACTCAGCAACACCCTGGTCCACAGGTGCCCCATCCTGCCCAGCCAACATCTCCGCAGCTGCTGACCGGGTCCTCAGTGGCTTCCAGGAAGGCTTCCTGTGGCCCCTGCTGGTGACCGAGTTCCTGGTGGCCGTGGCTGGTAACAGCCTGGCCCTCTACCGCTTCGGCACGCGGGAGCCGCGCCCCTGGCACCCGGCCGTGATCTTCTCGGCCCAGCTGGCTGTCAGCGATCTGCTCTACGCCCTGACACTGCCCCCGCTGGCTGCCTACTTCTACCCACCCAAGCACTGGCGCTACGGGGAGGCCATGTGCCGCCTCGAGCGTTTCCTCTTCATCTGCAACATGCTGGGCAGCATCATCTTCATCACCTGCATCAGCCTCAACCGCTACCTGGGCGTCGTCCACCCCTTCTTCACCCGCAGCCACCTGCGGCCCAAGCACGCCTGGGCCGTCAGTGCTGCCGGCTGGGTGCTGGCGGCCCTGCTGGCAGCGCCCACCCTCAGCTTCTCCCACCTGACGACCCCGCAGCAACAAGGCAACTGCTCCGTGGCCAGGCCCGAGGCCTGCATCAAGTGCCTGGGGACCGCGAGTGACGGCCACCTCAGGGCCTTCACAGCCTACAGCCTGGTGCTGATGGCCCTGGGCTGCGGCCTGCCGCTGCTGCTCACCCTGGCGGCCTACGGCGCCCTCAGCCGGGCCGTGCTACGCAGCCACGGCATGACGGCAGCCGAGAAGATGCACGTGGCAGTGTTGGTGGCCAGCGGTGTGGTGCTCTATGCTGGTTCCTACCTGCCCTACTTTGTCACACGGGTGATCAACGTGTCTGCCCGGCAGCGCTGGACAGCCCGCTGCCCGTCCTTTGTGGACGAGGCTCAGGCTGTGAGGGCACTGGACCTGGGGTCCTACGTGGGCCACCAGGTGACACGGGGCCTCGTGCCCCTGGCCATCTGCATCCACCCGCTGCTCTACATGGCTGTGGCGCCCAGCACAGGCTGCTGCCACCAGTGCTGCCTCGGCTGCGGGGGGGGCCGGGCCTCAGAGACTGCCGAGAGCTCCAGCCGACCCCTGGCCCTCACTGCCACAGCCACCAAGACCTCAGGGCCCCAGTCCCCTGAGCTGAGCCCATAACCTGACCTATTTGGAGCTTCCTCCCCACAAGGCACTGGGACCCAGGAGCCGAACGGGTGAGAGCACAGCAAGATCAAACCACTTCCTCAAAGGAGCAGCGAGCACTCAGGCCAGACGGGCAGTCTGGGCCAGGTTTCTGCCACAGCACTAACCATGGGCAGGGCTACAGAGGCAAGCCATGCAGGGGGAGGGGGAGGGCTGCCCCACCACCACAGGTGGGTGATATTTATGTATAAACAGGACACGCACAGGGCAATTGGAGCTTTTTTATTGCCCTTGGTGTTCCCTCCTTGTAGAGGTCGCCTTCTGTTGCCACAGGGTCCTAGGGCCAGGTGCCGAACAGCAGCAGCAGTGACAGCTGGCTTAGTTGGTGGATGGCCTAGAGAGGAAGACAGGAGTGATGAGAAGGGAAAGTGTGGGAGCTTCAGGCCCCAAAGGGAGTCCTAAGACCCTCCCACCCCCGCACAAAACTGGAGCCTCAGTGTGGGTGGGGCAAGACATGGAGCCACACCATCAGTGACCAGCCTGACCCTGGATGGCAGTGGCCCCTCCTCAAGATAAAGGACAATAAATGACTTGCACCTCCCAACAGGCTTGGCAATTATTCAACCGGTGTGGGGCTGTGTCTGTCACATGGGGCGGGGCGGGGTCTTACTTGGCCCACTCGACGTTGAGGATGAGGTGGTCGTAGCCGAAGCCGGACACGCCGGCAATGGCGCGGGCGGCGTCCTCACGGCGGTGGAAGCTGATGAAGGCAAAGCCCTGGGGAAGGGGAGGAAGAAGGGCGTTCAGGGCACGGCCAGATGGATGACCCTCCCCACTCACGGCCACCAACCCACCTTGGACTGGCCAGTGGTCTTGTCCTTCGCCAGGTAGATGCGGGAGATGGAGCCGAAGGGTCTGAAGAGCTCTTGCAGGTCTGTCTCGCGGGTGTCCTCTGACAGGTTGGTGACGCGGATGGTGGCATTGTCGTCAGCTGGGCATCGGGCAGGAAGAGGCAGCTGTCAGTGGCCAGGCCAGCTTGGGCCCCACCCACACGATATTCACTGGGTGCTGGGAGGTGCCCTCACTGCCTCACCTCTGCGGTTGGGCTGCATGGACTCCCCACGGCGGCTGGCCCCGTCCCGCAGGCTCGGTGGCACGTACTTCCCTGTCTTGTTCTGGGCCGCCTGCACCGGCTCCAGCTCTGGAAACCAAAAGCAGTCGGGTGAGGCCTCACCCTCGCACACAGAGGGCAGACCCACCCAGGATGCCGGCATTTCCCGCCCTGACCCAGCCCAGGTGCTGTGTGTCAAAGCCCAGGCATCGGTCCCTCAGAGACCTGGTGGCCATGACGACATAAAGGAAACCAGCAGCACACAGAGCAAGCAGCCACAGGTGTTAATATGGTCTGAGGAGCCTACAGGGTTGAGAGCTAGAGGAATGCCCGCCTAGCCAACAGAGGAACACAGCACATGGGGCAGGGACAGTCTCTGGGTGCCACACACATGGCAGTTAAGTATGCTGCACACCAAGGTCAGATGGAGACTGTGCAAACTCAAACTCACACTCAAACTCACCATCAGCAAATCACACCGAAGGATGTGGACTATGGACAGCCACGTGTGTGACCACTCATAGGTGTGCGTGTGCGTGTGCGTGTGCGCACACAAAAACATGCGCAGGTGGCAGCCGTGTCCAATGTGGACAGGCACAGCGCACTCACGTCAGGACCGTCACAAAATCAGCAGAATCTCGGGGAGAGTCCCACATCAGGGGCCCACCGCCTCCCAATCGCGCACCGTGGAGTTCACACACAAAGGCGCGCACCCGGGTGGTTCTCACAGCCCCCAACAAGAGACAGGTGACCCACCAGCAGTCCCAGCAGCCAGCCGGCTGGTCTCTCTCACGGACAGGGACTGTGACCACAGCCTTCGCAGTGCGGGCGCTGCAGTGCGGACGCTGATCGGAGGTGATGGGGACGGCCCATTCACACAAAGCAGGGGACAACCTAGGACTCACAGCACCTCCCCACCGCACTTCCTCCCTGACCTGCCAGCCACACCCGCAGGCCCCGTCACCTCCAGGCAGCTTCTCCTTCTCGCCGGTGGACAGGCCCAGTTGCTCAGCCAGCTCCTTCTGCATGGGCCCCAGCGTGTCCTTGTAGGGACAGCGGGTGGTCCAGTGGTCGCCCTTGCAGATACGGCAGGACACGATCTTCTGGCCCTTGAGCTTGTTCATTGGGTCCTCCTCCTCCTGGCAGTTCAGATCCTGGCAGGGCAGACGAAGGCAGCTCAGAGGGGGGAGCCACATCACCACCACCACCCTGGCTACCACCACACCCCCCGGCTGCCCCACTCACCTCCTTGCTGGTGATAAAAGTCATGGACACATCATCACTGACTGTGGTGGTGGCCACATTGGGCCCCGGTGGGTCAAACTCTGAGTTCCCAAACTTCTTCCAGTTCTGGGCGCAGGGCAGAGTGGGGGACCGGTCAGGACAAGGGCAGAGCAGGTAGGCCCTCCCCTCTGGACCCCAGGCCTATAGGAGACCCTTTCAGGGTGTCCTGGCCTTAAATCCATTCTCCACTCTCTCCAAGTGCGTGCCAGACCCTAGTTTCATGTCAGCTCCAGGAGGCCAGGGCAGCTCTCAGCCTCGTTTTTTTTTTGTTTGTTTTTTTATTTTATTGATTTTTACAGAAAGAGAGAGGGACAGAGAATCAGAAACATCGATGAGAGATAGTCATCAATCAGCTGCCTCTTGCACACCCCCTAATGGGTACGGACCCACAACCAAGGTATATGCCCTTGACCGGAATCGAACCCAGGACCTTTCAGTCCGCAGGCCGATGCTCTATCCACTGAGCCAAACTGGTTTCAGCTCAGCCTCATGGTTTTTTGTTTTGTTTTTTAAACATTTTTATTTATTTATGTATGTATTTATTTATTTTTTACAGAGAGAGAGAGGGATAGAGAGTTAGAAACATCGATGAGACATAAACATCGATCAGCTGCCTCCTGCACACGCACTACTGAGTATGTGCCCGCAACCAAGTACATGCCCTTGACCGGAATCGAACCCAGGACCCTTCAGTCCGCAGGCCGATGCTCTATCCGCTGAGCCAAACCGATCTCGGCTCAGCATCATGTCTTAAATGAGCAAACGAAACCCAGGGGAAAACAGCTCCACAGTCAACACTTCCTAGGGGGCCATCCAGGTGGCAGACCAGCTCCCAGCAGGGAGTGATGCTCAGAGGGAGCTGGGCTGCAGGGCTCACCCAGACTCGAGGGGCCTTGGGCTGAACAACCTGAGCCTCAGCTTCCTCCCCTACGAGGTGGGACCACAAACACTCCCCACCTCCCTGTGTCGCTACGGGGATCAAAGGAGAAAACTTCTACAAAGCATATGGCACGGGGGCTGGCACACGGTGTGAAGGTAACTGTGCCAAATCTATTTATCACTATCACTTCTGCTGCGGCCACCTCGGGGGAGCTCTTGACTCTGTCCCTCCAGGTAGAGAAGCCAAGAAGAGTAAGAAACAGCCTCACCAGCTCCTGGGCTTTGGGGACCCCAACAGAGTACACACACCCCTAGGCCTCAGTTCCCCAATAAAAAAAGGCAAACCAGTTACACCTCACTTCTAAAAACAAAGGCACTGGGGAAAAGAATTCTCCATTCCTCTGAGTCAGCCCTTAGGGACCCAAAACAAGGAAGGAGTAGGGTCTTACCTTCCTCCTTGCAACTGCCTTTGAGGCCTTCCGGGTCTCGATTCTGAAGGTGCGGACAATCTGGATGGGAGCAGAGAGGAGTGGGCTTCCCAGGCCTCAAGGCCCAGGGGACCTTCCTCACCAACCCACCCCACACACCACCCCTCCCGGTCCACGTGCCACACCTCCTCACCCAGCCTCACCTTGAACTTCTTGCCATCTTCATCTATCTTGTACTCGGTTACTGTCTTGATGTTTCCATTGATGACCTCCTTGGGTGCCGGAAGTGGAGCTGGGACGGGGGAAGGGGCGAGAGGAACTGAGCCCTCTGCCACGGGGGTCGGGAGGGCATGTGGTTAGGGAGAGGTGGTCCAGGGATGGCGTGGAGGCTGTCACTCACCTCCTGGCAGTAGCTCAGGCTCTGGGCTGGTGTCCCCAGTGGCCAAAGGGATCCCCTTGAGGAGCTCGCTGGTGACACATTTGTCTGTGAGAGGGGGCAAGGGGAGAGGGATGAAGTGGAGGGGCAGGAGTTCCCAAGCTAAAAAGGGACCTTTGGGATGATGCCTGAGCCAAGAGCTGAAAAAGGCAGGACCAAGAGGCCAGAGGACTGGCCAGGAAGTGCCCTGGGACAGCCGTGCGGGGACACGCGAGCTGGCCGTAATAACCTGCAGCAATTGCAAACATGGGGCATCCTTGGCATGAAGGCAGGGGCAGGCCACCGGGGCATCTGGGCGCAGGCACGAAGCAGGAGGCCGACTGTTACAACGTCCTCCGCGGAGCAGAGGGGCGGCTGGGAGGGCCTGGGCGGCGGCATGGGAGGAAGAGGGGCTGGCCAGGGACCATCTGGAACTGGCGACAGCCTGGCCCCTGTAAGGACGGCGCGGGCAGAGGCTGGCTGGGAAGGGAAACGCGGGGTCCGACAGCGGTGACATGGTCGGGGCGGGGGGCCGGGGCTGGAGCAGGCGGCAGCGGCCGGGCTGGGGGCTGGGGCTGGCCGCGGTGACCCGGGGCGACCAGGCGTACTCACCGTCCTCTACCTCCTCCTCTACCTGGTCGGCCCAGCTGGGCTTCGAACTGCGGGGACAAGTTTGCAGAGTCAGCGAGGCCTGGCTTCCGCAGCCTCCGCCCACCCAGGCCCCAAATTACCCTTCTAGGACTCCCCCGATTCGCCTCCCGGCCCCTCTTCCCGACCCTCAACTCACTCAAAGTCCCCGGTGGGCATTGCAAAAACTCCTCCACGCAGCCCAAGCCTGGGCCAGAGACCGGAAGTAGAGGGAGAACGAGACTTCCGGTTCGTGGCCTACACCAGCCCGCCGCAGCGCCCACAGCGCCCCCTGCAGTCAGGAATGCCCGCTGTGCGAGCGTCTGGGTGCTGGTACCCAAGTAAGAAGGAGCAGAGGCGTATCTCAGGGCTTAACCCATTACCTTGACAAATGTTTCAAAATCCCAGACAAGAAAAGAACCAAAGGAAAATACACAAGGGAAAATGTTAAAAAGAAAATGAACCAAACCAGTATTACAAGAAATGTTAAACGGACTTCTTCAGGAACGCGAAGGAAAAAATATTTAAAAAAATATGAATAATAGAATGGCAATGACAACATACCTATAGATAAGTACTTTAAGTGCAAATGGATGAAATGATCCAATCAAAAGACATAGGGTAGCTGAGTGTAGCTGAGTGGGTAAGAAAATAAGACCCTACATATGCTGCCTGCAAGAGACCTGCTTCAGATGGTCAGACACACAGAGACTGAAAGTAAAGGGATGGGGAAAGGTATATCATGCAAATGGAAACAAACAAACAAACAAAGCTGGGGTAACAAGACTTCTACCATACAAAATAGGTTTTCTTTTTGTAATCTCACTCGAGGGTGGTGAATTTTCCATTGATTTTT